CTCTCCACCCGCGAATCCTCCGCCTGTGAATCCAGATATACCCCTAGGATCAGCACTGACATCTGCACCCCTAGCTAAACCGCAGATTAGGTTAATTCCTATCCCCGTCTTTGCAACGCCAAGCCGACCACTCGAAGGTCGAATCAATCTTATACCACTTGATCGATAGTATGCATATCGAGTCAGTTCCTTTAGAACATGTTATGGCCGTCAGATACCCAGCCTCTAGCCGTATATCATCTATACATTTACTTTTCTATATTTCAAAATGTCCCAGTTCCGAGCGTGCAACTAATTTCCATCTCGAGCAAACCCTATCGTCCTCGCCTTTCCTTTAGCGGTATCCTTGCATATCTGGCTCAATAATTCATCCTACTTACCAGTCATTGATGCTGGGCATCATTGATGGACTGAGGCATACTTTGTATGCAAAATATAAATCTGTCGTTTTACCTTCTTATTCGTGGTAATGTAATGTATCTACAAAAGCATTACATCCATTCATCATTTTGTACGAACTCTTTGCAACAAATATGCTCTTTTGCAGTAATGTCCTTGGTGTGCCTGCATATGAGATGCCCCGCCCCAAAAGCTGTTATATATGATTCGACCTGCAGCCATGCAGTTATCCCCAGCCCATAAGATGAACAGGACTGTCAGTCCCATCAATACTATCACATCAATAGGGCTCTTCTTTTGTCATTCATTAGATTCTGAATATGCCATACTTCATTCTGCGAATGCCTAAAAGGACAATGCATTCACACTATAACACATTCAATGGTTGTATTAATTTACAATTGTGATATTCCTTTGAAAGCACAACAGCTGGAACTTGCCGTAACCTATTGTCTTGTGTTATCATGGCCTTAACTGTCAACTTTTCAAGCAAAATTTTTCTTCTATTTCGTGATCGCCACTCCATCTCTCCATCCTGTTCTTTGACCTTGTCTTTTTTCGTTGTTCATTTCCCCTTAGCAAAACTCCAGTCTATACATCCATGTTGTTGCTAGCCTACGCGATTTAATATATTCTCTTTCATCAGCTTTTCTTAGTTCCTGTGCAGAAGCGCGTCGTTTGACCTTAATTTTGCAGGAACTCACCCAAAAACACCCTAACTAGGCTCACGCGAGATAAGCTTGCTGAGAAGACTGCAAAATGGTTAGTTTCCACTTGACTGAGAAGCATATCCCAGGACTTTAACTAACCGATATTGTCAATATTGCAGACGAATTTTTTCCACCAAATTTACCTTGGTCATGCCAACCGTGTTGTTACTGACTATATCACCAAAGGGAGACGCCATAAGATCTCCCGCGCACAGATCGAAATGCAGATCCTGGAAGAAATTGAGAAATCTGCATTGCCAGCGCCACATCGCATTGCTTGGTATGCATTGGTAAGGATATCTTCCTTCTTAAGTCTTCTTTAGCAGAAAGGAATGGTATGTTTGATCATCAATATTGGCTAATTCAATTTAATCTAATAGATATTACAAACCAATACTTTTGAAATCTACTGGTTGGGCCAGCGCGATCAGCACCACCTGAGCAAAGAATCAATTGCGCGTTTGAAGCCAGATATGACGCTCGTGAACGAGTGTGCCTTTGAAAGTCCTGAAAGCTCTCCCGCATGCTCTGATAGCGAGATGTCTGATACACCTCAGCTGGAAAGCACGTTTTCCGGCGTACCTCGATATTTAGTCCGCGATGATGCCTCCAGCGACGACGATTCCTCAGACACCTCCACTTCAAGCCCCTCACCAACCACCATTTCGGAGATGCATGAACAAACCAACCTCATCCACGAAACAGGATCCCCCACTGACGAAGTTGAAGATGAAGTGGGACATCCTCAGGTGTCTGGAAAAACTATTCCTGAAACTGGCACTGTTCCTGGAATAGCTAGGAAGACGACGCCAAAACCAGCTCAAGCACGCAAGGGCCGTAAGCCAGCGAGCGGGTCAAGTAAACCCAAGGCAACGAGAATGAAAGCTACCCCACGGAAGAAACGGCAAGTAGCAATGAAACAGCCTCGAGTTAATCCGATTGTTCCAGTCGAAGACGCCGAAGAAGATTTCGAGCCCAGAGGCGCAGAATCCAATACGAGCATTGAACCTGATCTCCAAGCGGTTGACGAAGCTGCCAATGCAGATGAGATTACCCTTTCAAAAAATAAAGAACGAGGCAAAAAGGCCTGGGAGACTCGAAAACGCAAAGCCGCTGAGAAAGCCGTCGCCGCAGCTGTAGCTTTGGCAGAAGAACAAGGAACGGCTGCCCAAGGTGCTTCCCTGCAAGCTACCGAAGGGACCCCCAAGGGACGTGGCAGAAAGAAGAAAGCTGTGCGTTTCAACGATCCCAAAAACAATACTGATGACGAGCAATAATATTAACCAGATATCGAAGGGCTCGGATACCGCACCTATTCACGGCAGAGGAATGACTGTGTAGGAGAAAATTTTCAACACTGCGTTTTTTGTTATTTGGTTTGAAGGGCACATTATTGATTGCAGTTCACTAAGTTAAAGGGTTTTGAGAGTTTGACGTGATGGGTTAGGGATTGATAGGATGACGGACTCTCTTTTGACATTTTCATATTCCTATTCATGTTTTGCGCTTTTTTTAGAATTGGGTCTTTTGAATCCCATGGTTACTTTATGCAGGCACTTTTTCTTGAAACCAGGGTGTTGTGGTTCAGAGCATTTGAAAACCATGTCAAGGCATCATGTTTGGCCCTGGGATTTTGTCAAGTTTACTACGATCATAACCTTTGTTGCAATACATATCCAGGCTTTTGCGAGGATCTTCGCGATTCTTTTCAGATAATGTTCTCTATTGTTTAACTACTTCTCTCGAGGCACATATACCTCTCCAACAAGGAGATCAGATGCCAAACATTTCCTTCTATGTCTATAATACAGGAGTAAAGCCATGGCTAGCTTTTTAATAAGCCCTAAACTCCTCATCTGCATAAAAAAACCTTTGAAAAGAAGAGGAGAACGTCCAAAACGCAATCCATCAATAGTACTCATACAATAAAACAAGGGGCGAAGCGAATCAAAACATATATGCAGGGTGCAAATCATACCCAAGTAATATACAGTAGCCGTCTCTGGCGCCTCATTGCATGACTGAAATTATGGTATTTTAGAGATATCTCTTCTCGTAGATTACTTCATATGTTTGGACTTGATCGCCCAATCTGAAGTCGGTCCAGTCTTCGAACCCCATACCACATTCCGTTCCCTTCCGCATTTCTGTCACGTCTTTCTTTATATTTTTGAGAGATGTGAGAGAACCTATATTCTGGTAAGCCACGCTTCAATGGAACGAGTCAGCTGCTCAACGGAAGGCGAATCACACTCACCTTCATATACAATTGTCTTATCTTTACCCCGTATAACTCTAACTTTGTGGGAACGAGTAATAGTACCATTCCTGACTTTACATCCCGCAATCAAAGTCTTTTTACGTCCCTTAATCGTAATCTCGAAGATTTGGCCAACCTTCTGCTTCTCCAGATACGCGGTATATAACCTTGGGTGGAAGATATTCACTCAATTTCGCTTTCACATCATCATCAATTCGTAGATGATGTGTGGTGAGATCTGAACACCCTTGGATTCTGCTTGTCGAACT